CAGAATACATTTTGTATGTTGTCTATCTTATATACTATATTCTTATCATAAAGCAAGTTAGAGAAAAGAAAATGGTATTAAGAAAATCATAAGGAAGAGAAAATACATTTACAGAACTGTACTGTATTTATAAAAAAAAAAAAAATCTGCATAAAAGTGGACCTGTGCAGTTCAAACCCATGTTGTTCGAGGATTGACAGTATTTTACCATTTTGGAACTCGCTCCTTTTTTAAACAAAAATGAATCAAACAGATTCAGAAGCTATTTAGTAATTTTTCCTGAGGGCTTTCCTATGTTGAATTTGTCTAAATTTCTTAAATGAAAGACTTCAAACTTATAAAAATTCAAATAAAGTGTAAAACCAACAGCTAGATCACGCTGACAATATGAAAGTAAACACCAAATGCCTTACCAAGCATCTAAGTGAGACCTGAGAAAGCTAAATTTAAATGCTACTGAAATGGGTCATTTGGAAGAAGCCTCAAAATAACATCAACCCTTAAGGCAAAAAGGTCATTAACTCAAATTTAAAATACTAAAAAGTGGGAGTTTTAAATATATCTCCACAAAGGATAGAATAGATACCTTATTCAAATTTTTACTCTCTATTTTCTCCTACCCACTCAATATAGTAAAAATGTACAAAATACTAAATTTGGGGTGGTCCATATCACATCTCAGAGTTAAGTTTTCTGACCCATACCTGTAAAAAGGCTCATCTTATTTATCAAACTGTCTTTGCTTTCTTCTTCCACCCCAAATTGGCTTCCTTAAGGCCCAGGAATCCAGCAGTGCCAAAGCAAATACAATTGAAGCTATGGCCCGTTGCAACTTCTGATTCATTTGATCACATTAAGAGAATAGTCTCTTGAGGCACTTGACCAGCCTAGATTGTCCTTAAGCCTTTTTGTCTGCTCAGCTTGCTGTGCCTGCCCTGCTGTGGGACCCATACCATCTGCTCTCCAAGCTTCCATTTGATGGGCCATCATAACCCCCTCCACTTCTTGCAACGCAAAGCATCACCTAGACACATGAGGGTTAAAAACCATACAGACGGGGTACCTGGATGGCTCAGTCAGTTAAGCAACTGCCTTTGGCTCAGGTCATGATCTCAGAGTCCTGGGATGAAGCCCCAAGTCAGGCTCCCTGATCAGCGGGGAGTCTGCTTCTCCCTCTCCCGCTGCCTCTCAGCCTACTGGTGTCTCTCTCTCTCATGGTCCCTCACTCTCTCTCGAATAAATAAAGTTGTTAAAAAAAAATGAACAAAAACTCATACAGAAATGATAAAAAGCTCCAGTATTCATGAGGTTAAAATGACTTGTCTCCAAATACCATAAGTTAGGCCCACCTATGTGTGCATTAAGTTTTACATATGTGCTTGAGAGAGTCAAGTCTTCGCTATAATTAGGCCAGTGAAATATCATCCTAGACACTGAGGTCATAAAAGGAAGCCTCTGGCCATCTAAGGCAAATCTGTCAGCCTCAAGCACCTACAGAGACAAAGCAGGTAACAAACGTGTATAAGAAAGCCAGCTAGGCATTCACATTTCATTTTTTTTTTTTAAACACCACCCTGGTGGCTTTCTGTGACTCTTGCTCTAAGGGGATGCATACAGCTGAGATTAGAGAAAGGACATTTAATGAAAGTGCAATATTCCCCAGCAGAAAAAAATGTGAATCTGGAGCTCCAGGTAGGAGACAGTTAAGTTTGATGGTTCTACAATTAAAAAAAGACATACACCCAGAAAAGGGTGAGCTAAATCTTGATAGAGCATCTGAAGGTTCATAAAGGCAAACAGGAGAAATGTGAGGCAAAAAGTCCGTAAGGTAATTCCCAGTGGGAAAGATTTTCAAACTCTGGATGCCAGGGAGGATGTTGTCATCATGGCCTTTACTGGAGCAAAGAAAGGGCACATCCAAGGTGCCGGGCTCATAAAGTCATGAGGCTAGAAAAGACCAAGGGTTTTTTATTCTGAGATGTTTATCCATCTGCCATTTAATAGGGAACATGGTAAAATGACACACACTCCTGCCTTGTAATACCAACCACCAAGTCACTTCATCTTCCTAGGCCTCAGTTACCTCAGCTGTTAAGGGAGGGAGGTGAACCAGATGATTTCTGAGTTCCTGCCCAGCTTTTAAAAAAAGATCATGTCTGTGAAAACTGCTTGTAAGCTTATGCGTTCAGTAACCCACTCCTTTCTAATATGCCACTTTCCCTTTGTGTATTCTGAAACAACTATTACAGCTACACTAACACTGTAAATTGCACAATTACTGGCTTGAAGTAACCCAGTAGTTCTTATTATCTCTGTGATGATGGGGATCATGGCACCTACGGAGATAATAAAAATGAAGCACAAAATAAAGATCAATCTTTACCATATTCCTCACAGCAAAGAAAAGACACTGTATGAGACTGTTTCTGCCCTTTTCCTCCCACACTGCTAGACTGGAGTGAAAAGAAGGCCAGATCAAGAACAGCGTACACAGAAGGAAGCTCAGGCTGGAAATGTGTTTGTACCACTGCGGTCTGTGTGGTCTAGAGGGAAGCACAGTGGGCTAGATTTGGATTCTAGACTGAACCCTTCCAGTCACCATATAACTCTGGGCAAGATATTTAGCTTTTCCTAAATCTGTTGTCTGTTTACAAAACAGCAGTAACTCTACATGTTTCTTCTACCTCAGACATGTGCTAAGCACAGAAATAAGTGTGTGAAAAATTTGAGTTCTAGGGAGGAAATGTATTATAGGCAGTAATGGAGCATGTTAATGACAGAGAGCACTGATTTAACAATTTTTTAAAACTCACTACCATAATTAGATCAAAGCAAGCAGGACAGAGTCACTCAACCACAGTCAAAAACTGGGTCAAGTAGAAGCAATGAAGACCTTGATAGCACAGCACAGATGCACAAAGCCTCAGTCTCCCCAGTGGACTGATCTTAGCTAGACTGGGCATGAGAGGCACAGACCTGGCTTATAGACTCCTGGTTTGTGAACAAACACATTTTCCATCTACCTGCATTTTTTCATTTCTCCCTCCCTCCCTTCTCTTCCTCTTTCCTGTGCCCCTTCCTTCCACACATTCAAAAATTCTGCACTGAGGGCTTATGTGGAAATAGCTCTCAAGATGCTTCTGAACCTAGTTATTTAAACAAATGACTAAAGTTTCATAATCAATAAATGTGGCTAAGGGAGCATCTGTTCTCTCCAGGTGTCCAGGTCTTTGCTCACAGCATTGCCACTGGCTATTCTCGAAGAGGCTCGGGCAGGGAGGCGGAGAACAAAGGGCAGGAGGCTGCCCAGGCCTGTACCGACGGGTAGGTATGCCAGCCAGTCAGGGGGCCGCTCCCACCTCTTTCTTAAGTTTTCTCTTTTATATATTTGTCCTTCTCCCTCAAGCTTCCTTTGTTTTTCTAATTGGCAAGGAAGGAGGGAGAGCCATATACTGAGTGCTGATCATAGTAAATATTTTTCATTTACTATCTCATTAAGCCTAAATATTTATTTCTTACAAATATAACCCTGTAATAGGGGACAGAAGACAGATGAGTAGAGGCCAAAGGACCAGTTGGGCGGACATGAACAGAGCAAGAGGAAGAGGGCCTAAATTAAGATAAACTATATTAGAACTGTTTCTATGTGGAAAGACATTTCTATTCTGAAATGGTCATATTAGAAAATTCTTTTGGAATAAAAGTTAGGTTCCATCCGAGTGTAAATAAGGTAAAAAAGATTTCAAATCACGGAATATAGCAACCCATGATGCCAAATCAACTACTCCCCCCCATGTATATCTGTAACAATGGTAAGAATTGTTAGAGTGTGTTTTATTTTTTGAGTGTGTCTTTACTTTTGAGTGTGTCTCAATCCCAAACATTGTCCTAGGTGCTTTACAAACATTTAAGGCCCCAGTGACAAGGAGGACATTATTATACCTACTTTCGAAAGGAAGAAACTAAGACTCTGGAAAGTTAACTAACATATCCAGGGTCATATAAGCGGTAAGGGATAAAGGCAGGACCCAAACACTGGTCTGTCTGCCTCCAGAGTCTGTCCTTATTAGATTATGCTATGCTGTCTCCATGTTTATCTTTTTAAGTTTTTGCTTGCATTCCTTTTTACTTCTAGGAATGCTGATTGAGGGGAAAAGGAAGCAAGAGGAAGAGCATCAGCATGTGGGGGAGGGGCACATAAGGCATGTGAGAAGGAAGAAGAGAAAACCACATCACTTCTCATACCCTGGTCCTTGCTTTAGAAGGAAAAAGATACTACAGCTGTTGCACTGAATTTACTTTATGTTCCCTGCTGTTGCCATAAGACAGACCACTAAGGGAAGCAGGACATGGGAGCTGCTGCCCCCGAGGGACCCAGGTGTAGCACCATTGATTGCTTAGCCCCTCTGACCATGGAAAGGGCTGACCGGGATGCCCATGGCCAGCACTAACTGCTCATGTTGGGGGAAGCTGGATCTCTCTCTACCTTGGCCTGTAGGCGCCATGTCTCCGCAGCCTGTTCACATCTCCTGATCCCAGTCTTTTTCTTTGTCTCTTCCCCCCTTATTCTGATGACCACAATCCAAGCGAACAGCAGTAGGCACGGGGCTCGCTCATCTGGATTACATTAGCTGCTTGTATTATGCTATTTACATTTATGAAATATGGTATCGCGAGACCACATTTAGTAAAACTTTTTCTTAAAAATAGTTCTATTCTCTAATCCACTTTTTATTGGTTAGAAGCAAAACAAAATGGATCATATATTTAAAAGCAAAGGGAAGAAAAAAGACATACCATTCTAGAAATGTCTAGCAAGCAAATACCCCAAGAATATTTATCCAAGTGGTTACGCTGGGATATCTGAGGGGAAATGTGAAAGCAATTTTCTTGGCTATCATCACTTTAATATGAAATGTAAACCCCAAATACAACCTCAGGCACATTCCTTTAATTTGGGAAAAGTAGTCGTGTTTAGGGAGCATGGACGAAGCTCTTACCTGGCATGACTATGGTCTGCGGAGCCGCTGCATCTGTACTTAGGCAGAGACGTCCACCCTTGGCTAATCTATCACAGAGCAAGGTGATATGTTTCTTCAGTCGGCTTGTGTCTTTGGGTATGTTCAGCTGGCTGCTGAGGTTCAAGGCCTGCTCCTTCGAACTCTTTGATAGGCAAGTCTTCAAGAGGTGGGAAATGGCAGCATCCACTGTTTCTTCCCAGCCCTGGATGCAAAAACCAATTTTGAATTTACACAAAGATTAAAAATGAGCAAAGGAGGCACTTGACTGTAAACCAGGTTATAAGATGGCGTGTTTATGTCCAAGTGTTGGGGGCCTTTTGAGAATTTGGTTTCTGAACTATTTCATAATAGTCTGGTTTCAAATTCTAGCTCTGTCAGCTGTTTGACCTTGAGCAAGGTACTTAATTCCTCTTAGCCTCATCCTTATCTACAAATGAGGATACTAAGAGTCTGCAGCTCCAAAGGCTGAGGTGATTAACTGAGATGATACAGGAAAACTATTTAGCCCTGTGCCAGACATAAGTCATAAATAACAATAACGATAATCGTCTCAGGTATAGGTATATTTGATGATCTGGATCCTGAAACTGCCAGGATTACAGTTCATTTGCTTTATCTTTCTGCTCAAGGAGAACTGGCCAGCACAGGAAGGACCTTTGGAGATCTTGGGGGAAACTGGAATGAAGAGAAAACCCTGGTGTCCCTCTCAGCTACTGATCTCACAGCCTTGGGGTTGCAGGCAGAAACCAGAGGAGCTTATTTCAAGAGGAATTTTGTGAGACATAAGCCTATTTGGTCCCACTTCACTGCCCAGGTGATAAAAAATGACACAAAATGAGGAAGTGGGCTTTCAACCCCACTTTAGCTGGGACTAGTATGGCTGTGCTACAGTGAAGACCTCGAGAAGTGCAGTGTCACCTTGGCACCGTGACGGCTGCAATCCTAGAAATACCAATGCTGGGCAGGGACCTCGTCATCATCATAGAGGGAACCACCAGCAAGACTGGCGTGAGGAGGCCCCACCCTCAGGTGGGTTCAGATAATAACAGAGCAAGAAGCAGGAGGAGTCAGCTCATGAGCGCCCACTGGGCATGGCCAGGGAGTCCTAGAGATAGCTGGGAAAGATTTTTATAGAGGTCCAGAGGTCCTAAGCAGCACAATAGGCAAGCCTAAGTGAAATCTGGGTATTGTTGCCAGTGTGACTCCATTTGTACCCAGAGGTTGGTAAAAGCTAGAGCACCATGGGCCTGACGATCAAAATGAAACTATAAAGGAAGACACTGAACGAATTTATTTGCATAGAATGCTACGGAATAGTCCAAGCCCCTTATATAAGAGGTAAGAAACCTGAGACTCGGCTGGAACCCCTGGGAAGCCTACAGTTAGCACCGCTCCAACCTCAAATATCCAAAGTGGATTAGGTTACTTCTCACCCTGTGCTGTAGTGGCTGGCTGCATGTTTGGTTTCCCCATGGGAGTGCCCGGAGTTCTCTGCACCCCTAGCACTATGCTTGATAAACAGAGGGTGATTAAGAAATGTGTTAGCTGGACAGAGAGATGGTAAGACATAGAACATAGAACTAGGTTGGGAGGACTTTAGAGATCCAGTCTTGTGGGATTTTCCTAGGACCCTGTTTGCAATAGCAACCATCTGCCTAAGCATGGTTGTCTTCACAGTCCAAAATTACTACTTTTGGAGGCAGTTCACTCCTTCCAGGGACATGTGTAACCAGCAGAAAGCTATTCTTATAGTGAGCCAAAATCTGCCCCGCTGGCCCTGAGTCTACCCTCCAGAGCCATGCACAATAAAGCTAACCTCTCTTCTACATGATAGCCCTTTATATCTGTGAAGACAGCAATTCTGTACCCTCTCCTCCAGAATAAATAACCTCAGTTCCTCCAGCTCTTCCCTATATAAACATGGTTTCAAGTTTTCTCTCCGTCCTGACCACTTGTATTTGAATGGGCTCCAAACTTAAACAATTAAAAATTTATACAGCTAACTAGAGAACCCCAAACTGACCCCCAGGACACCAGGCTGGGGTTGGGAGTGCAGGGTAGGAGAGGGCCATCCCTCCCATTTACTGGGAATTCTCCCTGCCAGCCAGGCCTTTGGTTGTCTCTGATCTCTTGACAGCTGCCTCAACTCTTGATTCACAGTGAGCAACCAGACAACTAAACTCTAGACCTTTTCCATACTTGCCACATGTCTTCCTTCCGTGCTAATGGAGTTGGTTCTTTAGACCTAAGTGTGAACTCTCTATATGTCCAATGGAGAACTTCCCACTAATTGCCAAAATTAAGGGTTTTTACCCTACTGAGCCATTATAAATAGCACTGACTAAATTAGGATACAAATTAATTACAATGATCTTGAAAATCCTTTCAGGAGATGTCACAGACTGTGAAAAGAGCTTCCTACCCCAAACCACTGAAGAATAATAAACCATTATTTACCACAAAGACTCTCTATACAACAATCCAAATCTAAACTAGACCAATACCTAAAATTGAATTTGTATTTCAAGATAATGGGTTTAAGACAAAATAGTAAACCAGGTGAACCAGAAAACATATTTTTAAGTGGCCTTTGGAACCACTGACAAAGAACTCTGGAGTATAAGAAGGAAAGATCCTTTGTATATAATTTGGCATTTGTGTGCTCTGTGGTCATTTCAGCATTAAAACAGTTCCTACTATTTTATAGACTATTTGTCTAAGCAAACTACTGTTTTCATAAGATTACAGTAGCATATTAGATAATTTAAGTAGATATGGCATTTAGTTAACATAGAAGTACTATGAATTTCCTCTCTTACTGCCAACTTGCAGATCAAGTCAAAACCATGTCATAGTTGGCATGGATATTTCTTTAATATAATGAGGCATAATGCCAATACTTCAGAAGGATTGCTACTAAAATATAGGATTATTATTTAGAAGGACTGTATTGCTAAATAAACTCAAATATGATAATAAAAGGAATGCTATGAGACAAATAAAGAGCCTTTGAAATGAGAGTTTTGTTAAATAAAAATGCAATGTGATAATTTACTGATCAAACACATAGCAAAATTACCTCACAAAATGTGAGACAAAAATATGTGGAAATGTAGAATCTTCAAGTATGAGAAGCACGTTAAAGGTAAGCTATTTTAACCATCTTTTTAGTGTTTGAATCCACCACCTTTATTTACAGCTCTTAAATGGACAAGTTTAATGTTCAGTTTTAATGTCTATACACACACACACACACACACACCATGCATATACCTAACCTTTATCCTTTATAGCTGAGTATCAATTGTACTAATAATTTTGCCTCTTCTAATTGTAAGAGTAGAAGAAAATCTTAATTTGGGGAAAATTGTGCTAAAAGTGTCTGGAAAGGGAGAAAATACTAAGCATGTGCTCTTCTGTAAGAACTGATTTGATTTTAGTTTTCAAATCCCAGCTATCTCATGTGTGGCTTTTAGAAAACAACAGCAGGTAGGAAGTTAAATAAAAAATGTGTGAATCAATCAATAAATAAATTTAAGGGGCACCTGGGCGGCTCAGTCAGTTAAGCATCTGCCTTTGGCTCAGGTCATGGTCTCAGGGTCCTGGGATCGAGCCCCGAGTCAGACTCCCTGCTCAGTGGGGAGCCTGCTTCTCCCTCACCCTCTTCCCCTTCCCCCCTGCTCACGCTCAGGCCTTCTCTCTCTCTCAAATAAATAAGATCTTATAAATTTTTTAAAATAAATTTAAATGTACATGTTACTCTGTTTTATCTTCTTTATAACCCATGTCAATTAGAAATTAATATATTTATTAGGTTTTTTGGTGCTTACTTCATCTAGTTGAGTATTGATAATTAGGGTTTTCCTTTGTTCCCAAGGTCTCAGCTCAACCCCATCTTCCTCTCATGCAGAGGGCTCAAAATGTTGAGCTATTTACCTCTGAAAAGTAAAACAGCCCTTTGAACCTAAAACACAATAAAATAAAACTTTTTAAAATTATACCAAGCTGAAGGGAATTAAGAGTACATTTACGGTAATGAGCACTGAGTAATGTCTAGAATTGCTGAATCACTCTATTGTACGCCTGAAACTAATATAATACTGTACGTTAACCATACTGGAATTAAAATTTTAAAAAATAGAAAAAATTGACCCAAAACTAACACAAACCTTTAAGAATTAAAAAAAAAAAAAGACACCAAGCTGTATGGCCTCAATGGCATCTTAGTAAGTTTCAGATTATTATACTCAACAGTTTTTATAAAATAAGGCTTTGAAAAAAAAATCGGCTTTATATTTTTCATCCTATCAATAATAAAATGAAACACTTGCCAATCATTCTTTTTAAATTTTAAACCAAAGTGATTTATTGGACTTTGGAGTTCTCTATTTCTTCGTCATGATTCAAAAGCTGTAAAAGTCTAATTCACATTTCAACCAAAAGGAGAACAGGGTACTGGGCTTATCAACACTGCTTTGTGAAAAATGAAGCATATTGCTTCCTAATGGATGACAATCTAAAAACTCTGGCAAACAGAAAACAAGTGACCTTCATAGAGTTTAGTTGCAATACAACCAGAAAGCATGAGGTTGCTTTAAACAACATACTCTGGTCCTGTTTCCTTAAGCTTATGTTTTGCATTTGATCTGTACTCCCATGCTGACCTCAATGCTATCTACAGTAGATTACTTGAATTATCATAAAACTTGATCCTGGATAGCCATATTCATTTTAAAAATATTTCATTTATTTATTTGAGAGAGAGTCAGAGTACAAGCGAGGGACAGAGGGAGAGGTAGAGGGACAAGCAGACTCCCTGTTGAGCACGGAGCCCCATACAGGGCCGACATAGGGCTCAACCCCAGGACCCTCGGATCATGACCTGAGCTGAAGTCAGATGCTTAGGCAACTGAGACACCCAGGTGCCCCTAGACATATTCAGTTTTAAAATAAAACATCAATGATGTCCAATGGAGCCAATCACCCTCACTAAGCACTAACAATTGCTTCAAGAAAAGCTCCTGATCAATATGCACTATTCAGAAGCAACATACAAAAAAACATTAAGACTGGAAAATCAAATCGATAATGAAGATTCCAGAGGAAAGTTCCTTCTAGCAATGGTAGATTAGGTAATTTCAACTAATTATCCCATGGAAAATAACTAGAGACAAATATATAAAAATCATTTCTTTGAAGGTA